CTTCACTGTTTGCCAATTCCTTATTTGTGAATTCACCTACCCACTAAAATGTACTTTTAACCCCAAAATCAATGTCTGCAGCACTTTTGGGTCATTTACAGACGTGCACACAGAGAGGCCAGTATCAAGCTGCCTGCCACGCATACTCCCACCAGACCCTGCCCTCCACTTTCAGCTCACCTACTCTCAACAAGTATTCTTTGCATGGCCTACTTAGTGTCACCTGTTTTGCATCTTGTGCCTCTTTTTGGTAATTTAGCTGCTTAAAAGGAACCCCAAGCATAGTGCAGAAGAGCTGTCTAGTGTTGCTAAGCATAATAAGGCTGTGATGTGCCTTAGTTTATGCATATTAGCTTAGAGCATATTAAATAAAGTGTATTAAACAGAAACACACATAAACAAGATTATGTACTGATCAGCTGGCAAAATGTGCCCAGAGCCTCACAGGAGCTAACCCTGTATTTCTCCTAGCAATAATGACTCAATATTTGCTAATTCTGTATTTGAGGTAACTATAGAGAACAACGACACTAATGAAGATGGCTCTATATGTCCAATCAATTTGACTACAACATACTGTTCCAACAAGAAGCAGCATGGGAGCAAATCAGAGTACACCCACTTGTTCAGAACTCTATTTCTCAATCTGTCGATTTCTATTTAATAAAAATCTGTATTTTAGACCTTGAAGTTTATTGCAGGGTTAACTCTGATTCATAATAAATGAAACACTTCTGTGGATTGACCATTATGACCTTAGGCCTGACAATGAAAGTACTTTTCTACTCAAGTTCAAATTCCTAAAATCAATACTCTCCTTTTGAATGTCTTGTTTGGTAAGGCTATATGCAGAAAAATATCTGGTTTTCTCTACCTTGTAAAACCCAAAAATACAATTGTGACTACCACAGGCACTAGATATTGACATGTGCTCACTTTAAATCAGAAGAAAAAAATGAGGTTGGCTTTTGTTGTTATTATTATTTGATTTTTCTTGAAGTAAAAATCTTTAGCAACATCGTAAGTCTCTTCCTAGACAGCTATAACATGGAACATCTTCAAGTTGTAACAGTCCTCATTTTTACTGAGACTTTAAAGACACAATGCAATCCCTAATCCCTTTCCTTTTCCTCCACACTTGCTCTCTACCAGATAGGATTCCAGGCACTAATCCTCCCTATTTAAGAAAGAAAACATTACTACTGTATGATATACACACACACACACACACACATATATATATATATATATATATATATATATATTGAGCTTTAAGATAGAGCCTTAAATTTTTAGTGTAAGATAGGAAATAAATAATTTTGTGTAATATTTGTCTATTTATTTGTCTGAACTGGTATCAATTAGTCAAGTTCTCCATACAAAGAGAACCCAGTAGTATGTGTGTATATGTGATCTGATAAAGCCTACCGACATAATTAAGGTTAATGACTTTACGTAAAGATTACTGGTAGTAGATGTTAACCATACATACAAAACACCTCTACAGCATAACCCAAATTTGTGTTTAACCAGCAAGTAGGTACCATGGCCTAGACACAGTGACAAATACAACTAACCATCACAGTATCTTAAACCATAAAATTGCCTTCAATGACCAACAATAAATAGTTGGGACAAAAATACTTAAGACGACAGGGCTGGTCCCAAATCCCAGCTGTTTCACTGCATTGTAGTTTTAGGGAAGTCACTTTTGTTCTCTGAAGCACAGTGTGCTTATTTGCAAAATAAAAAATTTTAAAAGAGAGGAATAGAGTATTAATAATTACCTTTGGTGTCATTTAATGGACTATATGAATACCTTAAGGCAATTAATATGAGAGGCAGTAACTAGGCTGTTAAAATCGATATCATTTTATAACTATCCTCAGATATTAATGTGTTACTAGCAAGTAGGAGGTGTGGAAGGAAGGGAGGAAAGAAAGGAAGGAGGGGGTAGGGAAGAAATGAATGAATAAATAAGTAAATAAAGGAATTAATGGCCAACTTATTTTCTGGTTACATCATCACAAAGTCATTGTTCTTCAGACTACAGAAAACAAGAACAAAAAAATTTCATGATTTCAACAACCCAGAAGTGACTAGTAAATAAGGTCTGCATGCAGATAAACATAATACAAATAGATGAAGAAGAAATACGTAAGTGAATATATCTAATGCATAAAACAGCTTAAGAATCCATGTATAAGTTCAAACAAAAGGGACATTCTGAGACCATAACAAGTCAAAAACAAATATCTATTGGATCAGCCATCCAAAGATTCAGACACCATAGCAGGTGCACCTAAGCATGGTTTTATAAACATGGGATACTTTAAAAATTAATTACTGAGATAAGGCATTGCTAAATTTAAATTTGAAACAAGGTAATAAAGAGACATCTTTGGAATGACATTATTAGAATGGAAAATGTTGTGATAAAGAACTGTAGTTCAGTTAGGCTAAGGGATAAGAGACTGGAACCTGAGGGATCCATCAGTGTTTGTATCACATTATCCAAGTAAAAGAACAATATCAGGTGACCTGATAAGATAATGAGGTTTTCCCAAAACCTGGATAGAATATCCTTCAAGACTAACCAATTCCTTATGTTACAATTCTAAGCCAATTTTGAAACCCTCCAGTTTCTGCATCTGACTAGCAGGTATCTTCTTATGCAGAGACAATACTCTAGAGAAGTACGCCACTGTGAATTAGTAAATACGCACTCTAATTCATAGAGATATTCTCCATGAGGCTTAGTAACCTGCGCCTGTCTTCTAAGACTTATAGCCAACTCTGACTGGACAAAAAAATTAAAATTTACTGAACTTAAAAACAAGAGAATCAGAAACTGTACCTCACTGAACCAGTCATGAGATAGGCATACCTTTCCAGATGAAGAAAAGCATAGGTCAAGGTCCAAAAATTGAGAAACACAGTGCACATACAGCCTAGAACAGAGAGTACATTGATGACATATAATGTTCACACATATGAAAAGTCTAACTGTGGCCCATTTTGGAGAGATTTTAGTGACTGAATTGTATTTTTCTTTTTAATCTACTGCCAATGGAAAGTCATCAAGTTTCTACTATCTTTGAGCCTATGACTCTGGATTAGTATAATTAACTTGTTTAAAATATATCGGGCATAGTTTCTGAGGAAGTAACTGATCTGTAGAGTTTATTGCAACAGTCTAAGTAGGTGGTGATAATAATCCAACCTAGAAAGACAGCTATTATGACAAAAAACAGAGCGTGTGAACAGGCGATCTTAGGAGAAGGACAATCAAAGGGCTTCATTGAGCATCTGATTGGATGGAAAAGGGACCTGGAAAGTAAGGTGCACACTCCAAGGTTAGTAGTTCATAGTACTACAGTGAGTTTCTGTTTTTTAATTGCTGAACAGCTGTTCTAAAGCTTGCAAATATCATTTTATATTAATGGTTTGAACTTCTAAATACCACTACTAACATCTACAGCTGGGTTCATTATTTAAAGCCAAATTCAAAATACCTAAACTCACGGTTTTTTTGCTACTCACTAGGATCCGAAGATTTCCCAAATGTTCCAACCAACCACAAAAGCAGACACATGCAAAAGGCAAGAGAACAAACTAACAGCACTGCTTTTCAGGGTTCACAACAGTAAAGTGGTCACAAAGCAAAGTTCTTTAACGAATAACTCTAGCACTTGTATAGCGCCTTCCCGTCTACTGACATAGATACCAAGAATCATAATGCTAGCTGGACTCGTCTGTATGCTCTCTACCTTGTAAAGTGTCCAACGTCCCCCTCTTCCAGAACCTGATTTCAACAAAGCAATATTTAGCAAACAACAACAAGACTAGACTCTCAGCAAGTAATTCACCAGCAGTACAAGAAATCCAAATGTTCTTCTTTGTGCTCCATTCTTCGTACACAATCTCAACCAGGAAAATGAATCCTAATGTTTAAAATGTTACCACAGCAACCAAGTGAACAGTTGAAAAGCAATGAACTTAATCAGTGTGGGGCATTGTTGGAAAGCTTTATCCCTTGAGACAAATCTCACACTGCGAAGATCATTGCTATTTATCTGAAGTGTTTTCTGAAAAGGTAAGAATGACTGACTGAGGGCTTCAGATCAATGAGATGTTTCTCTTTTCTTTTTTTTTTTCTTTCAATGAGCTAAAGCTCCCAGGAGACCAGAGTTACACTTTTAATCATGACATTAATCAATAACAATTACACCCAAGAGAATGCCAACACGGGTTTTCCAGGAAATCTCATAGGGCTTAAAGTGCTACACTTGTAGAAACAGTCAATACTACGTGTTATAAAATAGAATTCAGGTTGATTTCTTCCTGGTTCCCTGGATCATAACTATGGTGCTCTACCATAGTGCATCACAGTGCACCTCAAACTTTAATGTGTTTCAGAATCATGGGACATCACGTCAAAATGCACATTCTCACCCAGTTGGGCCAGGAAGGGGCCTAAGGGCTATATTTGTACAAGTTCCCAGACAATGTCCATACTGCTAGTCAGCAAACCACACTTGGAGTAGCAAGATGTTAACTTCATTACAGACTGGTCAGGAGAAAGTAAAAGTCATAAACAGTTTCAAAGAATGATTATAAAAGTAGGACATAAGAAAAGAGAAAATGATAACACTAAACTTACCTAAAAGAATAGCGTTTTTAAATGTATTCCAAGGAACCCTAGTTATTAAGGACATGTAGTGTTGTTCAAAAAAATAGTGTTACTAGGATGCTCAATGGTCATATAACTGAATTGAATAAAATTAAGTAATAATAATAGCTACCATTTATTAAGTACTCACAATGTGCCAGATATTGTTCTAAATGCATGATGCAGAATAAGCCATTTAATATAATCAGCAAATCTATGAGGCAGGAACTATATTACCATCCCCATTTTGCAGATGTAGAAAAGGGGGCAAGTCACTGGTCCAAGGTCACAATGTTGGTGAGTTGGTGGGTGGTGGACTAGGACTCACCCTTGGCAGGCTGTCTCTAGAGTATGGGCTCTGGTCTTTGGGACACAGATATTCTTCAGTATTGACAGGATGTGTGAGTCACTGCAAGGTGATGTAAGTTCTTGTAAGTGGCCAGTGAAGGGGAACATGCAATAGAAAGGAGAGAGGAAAACTTAAAAGTTGGGGCATGATCAAGCATAAGAACAAGCTAGAAAACAGAAGTAATTCTTGGAGAAGTAATTTTAAGAGTATATACATCATCTGTCCAGGCATGGATGCACTGAATGAAGACCAAGCTGCTTGTCAAGTAAGGATCCAGAAGAAGAAAGAAAGAAACTCACAGATCTCACCAACTAATGGAGGGCACAGTTCATTATTTCCATGAAACACACCAAAACAGCTCTCAAGGACAAGAGAGTCATGATTATTCTGATATTAACCACCAGTTTACAGATTATCTGGGCCCCTTGCTGGGTCTCTTTCTTCTTCTTACAAGACTGATTGGACATTTTGTTTATAATTAGCAACATTGTGACAGTAAGCAGAGAGAAGGTTGACAATGAAATCTTTATTTTGCTCTTATTCGGGAATCTAGCAATAGATTTAGGAGGAGGTTAGAGTATGTAGCTAATGAAGAAAATACATTCTTATTAATAATTCTAAATTTAATAAACCTTCTTTTTCTGGCCTTCGGGTTACTGAAGGCGAAAACACTGAGTGGGCACAACCTGAATTCTATACACTCTGAATTAGAAAAGAGACAATACTTTCTGCAGAGTATACCTTATGTCAGGTAGAACGGTAAACAACATGACTGTTTGCATAGATGAGCACTGGGAAATGGCTGGTTCAGATTGTTCAGATGAGCCTTAAAACAAAAAAACTGACATGGAAACTTCTGAAGGTCACTGATCCTTAAGGCCATGTGTATGCAGAAGTGTTCATGGAAAACTCTCCTGCTTGCAGAAGGAAAAGGAAAACCTTAACTGGAAACAAGGCACAGCCATTAACCATTCTGAGATGACTGGATGCATAAATGTATGTCCAAGCACCAAGGTGAACTTACTTTCTTTCTAATAAAACAAGAAGTTCTTTGGCCTCCGAGATTGAACTGTGACATAAAAGCTGTACTTACTACTCACCATCAACTCACCAATTCATTTTGTAGGGTGCTAAGGTGAAGCAATCTAATTTCATTACGCTAGTACTTCAACCTACACTTACAGATTTTCACGTTTTAATTTTATCAAAACGTTTTCCATCAACTTGCTCCTTGTTAGAAGAATCCTTCATTGTTCCAAGACACAAATCATATCCTTTTGAATTCCAGATGAAAACATTTTATTTCAATAGACATGTATACACATGTAAAGCACTTCAATGTTATTTTAAAATATACTTTACTGGGTCTTACTGTGTGTATATTAGCATTGCACTTAAGAAAATGCTTCCAGGTGGCAGACACCTGCTCTGGCTTTGGAACATCAACCCCAAAACCTATAGTCAGGCACCATAATGGAGAAAAGTAACCAACTATATATTTCACCACCTCATAGTTTTGGCAGCTTCTTTGGAACTGGTTATTGCCAGCTGGGCATTTTGCCATTTCCTTAAGGTGAAATTAAAGTGGAAGATGCAAGGGTTTTATTGTAATTTTCCACCACACATTTCTATCATTATGGGTTTTCTGCCATTCGATTCCCACACAGTCTCACTGAGTATCTTCTTATTATGTCACTGAATTTGAAGCAAACACAGGATGATGTAATGAAAACAAGTGGGCACTGTGTACAGCAAATGATTGCTGTGTATGTCAGAATGTACCACATAAATTTCAGGACAAAAGCAGAGGCAAAATACCAGTAAAGGTACTTAAATATCAAGCTTTTTCATTCTTCTGTAGCTTCTCCCTCCATGGTGGTGGTGTTTCTTTGCTATTTAAGGTTGTGATCCCTTAGGCACAGGGATGCCTATGCAGTAAGTGAAGACCTTGGGTTCTACCCACTGAATGGCCACAGCACACACAAACTGCCCCACTGGCCAGCTGTTCAGCTACATCTCCAACTAGCCACAAGAGCAACACCCCAGGTTCATCAACTAGCAAAGTCTGCCCAAACATCTTCCTTGTCCCAGGCCCATCCACAGGCAGCAGAGGACCCCCAGGAACATTCTGGTCTTGATGAAAGGGTGCATTAGGCATCAGAGCAGGGCTGAGTGAGGGCACCTGCACCCACTGTGGCACGGGACAGCCACATCCATGCTCTATTCTAAGACCTTTGGGACTCTTGCTCCAGACCTGGCCCTCCCTGCCTTAAGAGAGCACAGAGGCAGAAGTCAGGCAGGGCTCAAGGCACTGTGAGGGGCAACAAAGACAGCAACTTCTCTCATCTTTGAGGAATGAAGGCAGCACCTTGAGCCATGTGAAAATCAGACCTGTACTTACTTTTCCAGAACAAATACTATACTTGGCTAATTTCTTCACTAAGTAATTAGCATGATCCACATTTTTATTTTACATAATTAAATGCACACATACGTATACATAAAACTGGGTAACTGAGTAAACCTGGGGAAAATGGACTGACTGGATACATGTCTGTATCCTAGCAGCAATTCTACACTATAGTTCCGTAACGTGTAATTGGGAGAAAATGTGTCAAGTTACAAAATATTTCTATTATTTCTTACTATTGAGTATGATAACATAACTATCTACATTTTTGAAAGATCCCAAGCCTGTTAAATGGACATAAACAACATATTATTACCCAACTACCTATCTGTGGATATAATTCAGAACATTACATATTTGTTGACTTCTATACAATATAAAAGAGCAATCCCTTAAAAAATTTGCTCAGATACAAAATCTGCAATCACCATTCTCATATGAATTCCTCCTTTCAGGAAAAAATGGGTTCAGCTATATTTCTCATTGAAATTTCTTTTAGCTATTTATGATAAAATGAAAACACACATTCTAGAAACTACAAAAATACTCTGGAAACAGTCTATGTGAAAGCATTCCTTTATTCACAAAAGAAGACAAGTGTATGTGGAAAAGCCCTGAATCAAATTTAAAATGTTAAATTCTTGCAACCAGAAACTAGTTTATGTACCATATATAACTGAAAATACATATCTGATGCTGGTACAGTTACTCAACTTTTATACACAAAAGACAAAAACATCTTGCCTATCAGATGCTCAAACACCAAAAGTATAATGTGAATTCTCAAGGCAGAGTTCCCAGGTGCAAATTCTGTGTTGCTTTTTTATGACTGTGTATGTGAGCAAATGCCCAAACGAATCCCTTCTGATAGAATCCTGGAGAATGTGTGTGGCCAAATCCCTGGGACCTCAGAGACAACAATACCTAAAGGAAACTTGTTCCTACTGAAACCCCATTAAGTTAGGTAACAGAAACTTGCTTAAACCACACAGCCCAGCACAGTAGAAATACTCAGTAGATAGCATCAATGATATCCACAATGGCGATATGCTCCCAACATGAACTTTGAAGGGCCTGGCACCTGATTCTCAGTATCAACTGTGTGTCCATTTGCTCTATCTGCTACTTCTTTCCATGTCAGAGGGTGCTCACAGCCAAGCTCAGCCCATCTTTGGTTCTAGTCAGGACTCTGCAGACACCTGAAGAGCCAAGTAAACAGAGAAAGAAGTTGGGATCCAAATTAATTTTGCCACTGCTCACTCTGTACCTCTTGTAAACACTGGATTGCTCATTAGCAAAGTAGAATCTGAATTTCAAAGATGAATGAATATTCATTTACTCTGAGTAATTATATACTAAGGTATTCAAAATGTATTTGTTGAATGAAAGACTGAACTAATGAATGGATATGTGCAGACTTCTCTCCAACCTGGCATTTTTCCCCACTTCCTCACTAAATTCCCTTGCAGCTTCATTTTAGAGTTAAAATATCAGAGTAGAAGGGGAGATAACACATATAGCACAGAACCTTGTTCCTGATCTCACTTGACTATACCAAGCTGTCTGCTTCATAATTAATTGCTGCCGGCAGGAGTCAGGTACAGGCATGCCAACAACTCTATGGCATGGTTTGCCAGGTTTGGCAAATTATTGTAGCTTCATCTAGCTAGGCTTTGAGCCTGGACATCTAACAAAGAAGCACTTAAGAACGTCCTGAGGCAGGAGAGCTACTTTGGCTGACTATCAATGTCTCCTTGCTAGGATAGTGGTGCCCTAGTTGTGCTCTCAAAGTCTCAAATTCTTATGGATGCCTAGAATGTAGTGCCAATAAACAAAGGGAGTGGGCTTTTTCCTGCCCCATTCTGGACCCTGCCAGTTCTGAACAGCTTACCTCTTATGTCCACATGCACCCTAACCAAAGTCTGCACACCTGACTTAGTGCACTTTCTCAAAGGTAAATTCACAACCTCTCCACTGGGCTTAGGCTGGGAGCCCAGGCTGGCCTCATGCCCTGTCTCGGTGGTGATTCCCTGCCGTCTCCATTGCTGGCATTGACACAAACACAGCTTTGTATCTGCTCACCACAGAAACTCTAAATCTTCTCCTCTCACTGATTCCTTAGCATCTAAAACTAAGTGAGGTATATCTCATGCAAAATTTAACTAACCATATGCAAAATTTTTAATGACTGCAAAATATAAAAGCCAACCTGAATTGTATCACTATACAAATAATGTAAAGGATGGCTGAATATTTAAGTAAACAACACTCTAAAAGAAGATGGCAAAATGCATGTTTTAACAGATGAACAATACAAAGGGTTGTGTCTTGGTTCTTAAAAACAAGTTTCTAAAATGTGCCAATAAAACTAATTGCAACACCCAAGTTCTCTGGTTAATTCAAGCTCTAGTAGACAGGTTTCTCACTAACTTTAAAACTTAAAAGCTAAAACAAAACCAAAAAAAAAAGTGCATCAAATGGCCCTTAAGTCACATTACCAGAATGGACTTCATACTACAATGTTAAGTAATCTTGATGTGGTGAAACTACCATTAAGAATACCTAAATTATTCAAGATAAATCATTAGTCATTTATTTCTAACCCACTACTGAATCATAGTCTAACAAAGTCTCATGGCTTATATCCACTCAGCATATCCTCAATGTTCCACCACAAAAATTCAGTTTTTAAATGTCCCTAGAGAGAAATTATCCAGATCAAGAAGTTAAACATGACAATGAGAGGAAAAAATCCTAGCATAAAATACATGGTTTTGGCACAAATTCAAATCTGAATAAGAAAGAGAAGATAGAAAATAGGGCAGACATTTATTGATAACAACCTAACCATTAAGAGATCCTGGAACAATTCACAGAATGATGCAATGGAACATTCACTAAGTGTTCGGCTTAGCATAGCTTATAACACTCACCCTTGCCTGGAAGTGTTCACTGTCTCAGGGTCCCTCCCAAGGGAACACTAAGAATGTACGTACTGTAAAAATCTGTAAGTGGACTCACAGTTCACAAACCACATCCAACTGTGCTTCTCACCAAGCACAACTCCAGCCCTCATTTCTATACTTCAATAAACTATAGATGATATAATGACACCTATCTCCACCAATTGAGATGTGGTGTCTCTTTTCTACCCATTAAAAATACTCATTTCTTCAGTAATTTAAGAAATTATTTCTACCTTTAGTGTAGATATAAGCAAATAGAGCATATTAATAAACAGAGCATTCTCAAGTCAACAGTTAAAACACAACTCTCAAAAGCTTTTAATCAGCAGCTTATAGAGCAAAACAGAGAGAAAACCAGTTGCCCTGAGATGCCAGTGAAGCCTAATAAAGGAACTATGTGACATACATCAGGAACAATAACAGAAACATGGTGGTAGGGAACAGATTTTCATTGATTTTTAAAAATATGTTTATCTGTAGTGACTCACATATGTAATTACTGCTTTTTGGGAGGCAGAGATG